AAAGGCCAGGTAACAGTAAATAAGGTAGAGTCTAAAGTTAAGCCTGGTGCCCAGTTTTACCCTTGGAATGGAATTCTTCAAAAACAATTTAATCACCACTTACAAAGAAACTTGGCATATGTTGATTTTAATTCAAAAAAATCATTTGTATTAGGGAGACAAAGGAATATTGTTGAGAATGGAATCAGGATTTTTCCTCATTGCTGTATATCTACCCTTTAGAAATAATCCAGATGCAGAATCATTAGCATTGATGAAGGCAGACAGAGAGAAGGGACAGGATTTGGCATGAGAAGCCACCATCTGACTTAAACTGGGCAGCCTGAGGGCAAAGGGATACCCAACCTCCCCAGTAGCATTTTATACAACCAACCTCAGATAAATGTGCCTTTGTTGAAAACAGGTGAGTTGATCCAGCAACAATACTTTGTATGGTATAGGACCCCAGATGGAACCTGAAGCAACACAAACATAAGGGTGAAAAGCAAAAAAATGAGTCAGTTGCTGGTAAGCAAAGTTCCTGAGTGCAAAGGAAATGCTTAATGTAAGCTATACATGCCCAAGGCAGAGAGGAGTCCTGCCCCTGGGAACGGCAGCTCGGTACATCAGGAGTCATCCCATACACACCTCTGCCAGTGGGAGGAAAGAGAGAGAAATTCTTAGCCCATTTTCTCCTCAAAAGTCACATCAGACACCCAGAAGGTGTCATTATTGATTTAAAAGAAAAAATGAGCTATATGTGCTATTGAGCTGGGTGTGAGTTCCTAACCAATCCCCTGGTAGTGAGGAGGTATTTTCAACACATGTAACTAAACAGCTATTCTGAAAGAGTCCGTGGCCAGGCCAAGCTAAGTGAGCCGGCGTGGAGCAAGGTTGGGCTTGATTAGCACCAGTGGAACTTCCATGGAACACCACCGTTACATGACTCCTGCCATGGAATTACGGAATTATGTTTACGGATTTCTGGGTGTTTAGTTAAACGAGAACTGAAGCATTTTTCCTCTCACAGCAACACGTAACTCTTGCGAACCAGTACCACCCTGGGAACTGTTTTCAAATGCAGAGCCCGCGAACACTAAAAATTAGGGATTCTTCGAGAAACTTACTTCTGTACAAGCTTACTCCAGTTCTCTTTGACAAAATCCCATGCCAGTAAGTGTCCAGGAAAATGCCGGCCCACTGTTCTAATGATAAACGACAGCTTTTGTGTTCGGATGGTATCTCCATCGAGGCTACTTTTCATTAACCTGAAGAGCAAAGCAGATTCAGCTTTTCCAGAATTATTCATGACGAAGTGATGACTGAATTTAAATTAATACTGGTCTCCTAATTAAAGCTCTGTGGCAATTCAAGGGATATAAGTTTGCGGTTAGTCTAAGATTCATTAATAGAGTGAAACCTTGTCATTTTTTTTTAAATGGAGGAAAAACTCACCAATGAGATAAGCAGTTTAATGTACTGTCACATAGTAATAAATAGTTCTTGATGTAATAAGGACACTTAGGAAATAAATTCTAGTAGGATTTGTTATAATTCTGAAGACTAGTATTTTTTTCTGTTAAAAAACTATTTGATGTGAATAGGGAGGTATCTTATTACTCTTAAAAAACTGGGCTGTCATATGAAAATGAAGATCCATTTCAGAATACACTCAATAAATTTACTGATACTTCATGTGTACTAGATAATGTTCTAAATTATTGAATAACAATGCTTGAAATAGGTCATTACTACCTGTCCACATGTTACAGTTTAAGAAGCTGAGGTTGTGTAATTGCCCCAGTTACACAGCTAATAAATATTAAAGCTGGGCATTTGAATGTAAGCGTTTACTATGTGATAATATCTGCTTATAGTGAGAAAACACATACCCCTAAAAGAATGCAGCAGTATTTTTAATAGGGGAAAAACCCCAAATGCTCATTGAGATGTGATGGATTAATAAACTATGATAGAGCCATGTTATGGAATAATACACAGCTGTAAAAAAATGAAGTAGGCTTTATGGTAGATCTCAAAGACTGATCATTCACTAAAAAGAACATCACAAAACCCTGGGTATAGTATAAACCTATAAATACTCAGACCAGGACTGACACTGTTAACAGAGGAGAGGATAAGAACAGAAGTAAAGGATCAAATAAGAGATACTTTCACGTTTTACACCATTTTCTTAGGTACTGTTTAAATACTTTATCGTGGAAATTTATCAGTGTATTAATAGTCTAAAACAAAATTATTACTAATTTAAAAACAAAACCCTTTCTCTATTTATTTGGGTCAGAGGCTGGCTACTACTTTAAAGAAAATGACCATTTACAGTGTATCCTTTGGAAAGTGGATCTGGGCAGGTGCTGAAGACACCTCTGGGACACTGTTATGATTTATATGAGCAAAATTATACAAGAGAAGCAACGAGACCCAAGTGCCTCCCTCCACCCCTTCCTGGCACTGACTTTCTTTCGAGATACTTCCTATTTCTCTAGGCTACTCAGAGCTCCTCTCCCCTGCCACTGACTGTTCTTCCTGTCGGGAGGCCCTACTCACTGCCCTTCTTCCCCCATGTGAAGCTTCCATTTTCAGGTCTTCATCAGCTGAGTAATTAAAAAGGAAAAGCCTGACAAACTCGCATGAAGGTGTAACCTATCAGCTTTTACATGGTACCTTTTTCTGAAGTGTCTGCATTTTCAAAACGACAGCTGCGACAGAACAATGCCTTGACCAAAAAGAATGAAGCACTAACTGTGGAATTAAAGACAACGTGCCAAGGGGATGAAGACGTTTTTAAGGAGAAAGCAGGGCTGTGACTCCTGGCATCTCCAGTCTCTTCTGGGCAAAGCACTGCCTCCTATGGGTACAGGTCCGATCCCTGAGACGAAGCCCTGCACATGCAGGCTCCTCACCATACTGTCCAAGTCAGGTCCGGCCTGTGAGCAAAGGGAGGAAAAGGGGGATCCCCACCGGAGGAGCATGGTGCTTTTATGCTTTCGGTTTCTACAGATCATATTCCTTTGGTGGTTTCATACCAGTAAAGTTTCCGTACATCCTCTGAGCTGGCAAGAGCTTCAAGTATTTTATTCTTCTGTGCTTCAGAGCCTAGAGAGGAATATTTGCCTAAGAGGAATGACCAGCCTCTCTCAGTTTTCGCTCCAACCTTGAACACAGTCGTCATGACATCAGTGGGTAGGCTGTAAGAGAGGTGGTCAAATATGAGAAGAACAAGAAAAAAAAAAAACCTGAAGACAAAGGCAAGGAATTGACTAGTGGTAGTGTTCTGGGGTACAGAGCAGGTCATAATAAGAGTCTCTACTGTACAATTAATTGTCAAGAAAATGATTAATTCAGTGGCTGCTACTTTCTTAGTGGTGTGACTAAAAGAATATCAATTCAATTTAATACAATAATTATTCACTGTGTACCCACAAAGAACCAGGCAAGCAACTGGCTGGACATTGTGGAGGGGAAGGAGAATGAGACACAGTCTCTGCCTTCAGGAACTCACAGGCTATCACCAAGTACAGAACAGTAAATATATACATCATAATACAGTGTCGTAAGTCCCATGGTCGAAATACAGCAGCAAATGTAGCAGGAGGGGTGAGAAGAGGGGTAGAAGCACAGTTTGCTGCCTTATTGAGATCTCAGAGCTGAAGAGGGCTTCAACGGGTTACCCAAATACCCCACCTGATGCTTGAATCTTTTCCCATAATGCCCAGTAAGGAACCTGGAGAGAACCAATCATCATCAAAAACATTTCCACTAACTGCTAACTCCACCTGCTGTGTTTTACTCCTAAATAAAAAGAGACTTGTTTGACGCCTCACACCCATTAGGAGAGCTGCCATCAAGAACCCAGAGAATAAGCATCTGTGAGGATGTGGAGAAACTGGAACCCTTGCGCACTGTTGGTAGGAATGTAAAATAGCGCAGTCCCTATGGAACACATTATGGGGGTTCTTATAAAATTAAAAATGAAACTACCATATGATCCAGCAATACCGCTTCTAGGTATATACAATATATGAAAGAAGTGAAGCAGGGTCTCAAAGAGGTATTTGTACACCTTTGTTCATAGCAGCATTATTCACAAGAGCCAGAAGGTGGAAGCAACCCAAATGTCTATCAATGGATGAATGGATGAACAAAATGTGGTACATACATACAATGGATTATTCAGCCTTAAAAAGAAAGGAAGTTCTGACGTATGCTATAACATGGATGAATCTTAAGGACATTATGTTAAGTGAAATAAACCAGTCACAAAAAGACACATACTGTATGATTTCACTTATATGAGGTATTTAGAGCAGTAAAACTCCTAAAACAGACGGTAGAATGGTGGCTGTCAAGGGCCAGAGTGGGGGGAAAATGGGGAACTGCTGTTTGGGTAAAGAGTTTCAGTTTTGCAAGATGAAAGAATTCTGGAGATCTGTTGCACAACAGTGTGAATATACTTACACTACTGAACCGTACACTTAAAAATTGTTAAGATACTAAACTTTATGTTATATGTACTTTACCACACACACACACACACACACACACACACACACAGTCGTGCTTGAGAATCAGGTACATAGAGTTCACCTACATCAACACTGTTGTATAACATTTATGACCCAGGACGCAGAGGTCCTGGTTTCAGTATACGATGTAGGGCACAGAAGAGAAAGCGAGGTCATGTGAGTGGACGCGCACATCACCTCTGAGTTCCATTGGATGCCACCCAGTCGTTAAACAGCTTCATGGCGGCAGTGCTGCAGTTCTCCAGGCTGTGGGTGCAAGCAAAGTCTAGCAAGGCTGATCGCAGTTCCCGAACAGATGGGCTGCCCTCATCAGTCCACGTCTGCTGTTGGATTTGTCTTTGAAGCAATTTAAATACCTTGGTCTAGAGAGACAGAATGGATTGTAACAGAGTGATCATAATTAGGACAACCAGAAAAATCAGGACAACTAGGTCTCTTTTTTTCCCAACACTCACCCAAAGAGAAAAAAAAGGGGGACACAGGCGTTACTCACTAAATGTCAACTGACATATGAAGTCCACATACAGCTGGGATAGAACCCTTCAATAACTAAGGCCATAAATAAGGTTGCTATAGCCAAGGTGGACTTAATGACATAAGACAGAGAGAATTAATGACTTCTGTGCAGTAGGGAACCTTTCTTCTGTGTATACTCAGCTAGAAGTTATTTTCCTGCCAAAAAGTATCACCTATCACCCCTGCTGGAAGGAAGCTGGAACTTCCTGACCTCGTGACTTTAGAATCCATAAATCCATTCAGCAGTGAGAGAAAAATATACTTCTTTACTGATGGGTAGATGCTTAAATGTTTCTGAATCCAGTGTTAAAGGAATATTTAAAATATCATCTAGTTTGATGCTATAACAAATTAATCTAATCAAATTATCAAGAAAATGAGGCCCGCAGGGAAGAATAGTTGTTTATAGTTATTTTTCTCCTTCCCCAACTTTTTATTTAAAAAAATTTCAAACCTACAGGAAAGCCGCAAGAATAGTAAAATTAATACCCATAAGTTAGATTCACTGTTTTTTTTTAACACTCTTACATTTGTGTATAGCAACACATACACACATATTTTTCTTATTTTAGCTCAACTATATGAAAGTAAGTTATAGATATCATGATATTTCATTTATAAATACTTCAGCATGCAATTCCCCTATGTAACCATAATACCTTATCACACTTAAGAAAATTAACAGTTATTCAACGGAATCATCTACTATTAAGTCCATTGTTGTAATTACTTCTGAATGAGATATCATTCTTAAATATACACTTGTGGTATTAAGAAACCAACAGATATCTTATTTCTTTTTCATCTCTTCTCAGAACAAAAGTGTGGAAGCTGTTCATAGTATATGGAAATAGTTCCATATTCCAAGCTGTGGTGAGGGGGGAGGAGTGAGGACACAGGGGATTTTAAAAAATCACCATATAAAATATGCATTTATGAATGTCACTAAAAGGAACAAAAATTCTAATATAAAAATGCTGATAGGTATTTTTTTTAGAAAACCTTTATGGCTACAAATAAGGAGACTCAAAATGAAAACAATTTAGAGGCATCCCGGCCCACAGGGTTCTCGGCACAGGAGGGTCTCCTCCCACTGGTACTCTAACACCATCACTGCCGTGTCTCATCTCAAGTAGTCAAGTGCCACAGATGACCACATACAACACCTCTTAACACCCCCAAATTAGTTCAGGCTCCTCACAGAGCATAGTATTCTTCTAGAGTGCCTCTGTCAATAGTTAAAATGAATCCTAGTTGGAGAGTTTTAAACTGCTGAGGCCATTTGCTCACCAGACCTTCTCTGAATAAGTCTCTTGTGGATCTGACTATGAGAATGGAATAAAGAATCTGTACAAGAAGACGGACTCAAAGTTAGTGATAACATGTCAACTCCCTTTTGTTTGTTTGCTTCAAAAGCAATGAAATAGAGAACAGACGCCTTGTGGAACGTGTGAGTAACAAAGCTTGCCAGTCATTGGGAAGATGTGAAGTGGAAAAATACTTGCCATGCTGACTGATAGTGCAAGGAACATAAAAGCAATGCAGGAGATCCTGCTGGATACACATGACTGCACTGGCACATGTTGTCTTCCACTGTCCTGACTTTCTCAATGGCTTCATGATAGCATTATGATGCAGAAAAGAAATTTAAAAGCTACTCATAACTGTCAAAAAGAAACAAAGGAAGAATGAGAGAGAGAGAGAAAAAAGTTCCATACTTACAATACCATTAAAAAAAATTCAGTGGAGAAAAATGGCAATGATCCTTAAGAGTTTACTAAAACAAAGAAGCCAGTGGGGAAAAACAGAACTTTAAAGTACTGGAAGTATGGGAAACCTGACACTTGAAGATGCTAAATTCCTGAGCAGTTACTCCATTGGAATTACGGGGTATAACTTTACTACTTATACCCTGTACCAAAGAGTCAAGAGGAAGTCCCCAAACAGTTGATTTTAAATATATCTCAGGGGAATTCCCTGGCGGTCCAGTGGTTAGGACTTGGCGCTTTCACTGCCACGGCCCTGGTTCAATTCCTGGTAGGGGAACTAATGTCCTGCAAGCTGGATCATTTTTATCATTTGAAAAAAATATTTCAAATGATAACATAAAAGAGTAAAAGATTGTATTTAAAAAAAGAATAATTCTGTTTTTAGAAAATTTGGATTATAAAAGCTTTTTGTAAGTGATTCAGGTTATATTTTTAATATTAATAAATCACAGCAAGTGCTTCAAATTATCTTTCCTTTTTAGAAATAAAATTAAACCTGTTTTTCCCTGGTTCTGCATGAATTTTTTGAAATTTAACCTCTTTAACAATAGAATTCAATCCTCTGATTTCATAAAGTGAAGATGGTAGGGAGAGGGAATAAATTGATGAGTGATATAAGCTATGTACATGCAATAATATGCAACAACAATAACACAAAATGGTTTTAAAAATAAAACACAGGGCAAGATGCTGACACTTATGTTATATATTACGTTTTGATTTACTGCTTTAATTTTACACTGATGTTCCCAGGGAGTTCTTTCTTGGGTCAACTGGGCTTCTTAAAAGTGAAGTGTCAGCTTTTATTGCAAAAGGATTATCCCACCAAGCCCTCATATGTAAAAGAATGACAGAGTTATAAGTGATGAAATGGGAATATGACTGAAATCAGATTTTAGCATCAGATGTGAACAATTTGACACAACTCAAATGTGCTTCCAGACTCTACCCACCACACATCACAGCAGACATCACAAAATGTGATATATGGGTAATATATGTTATGTGGGTCTGTGCAGCCTAAATAACACAGTGACCAATAAATGTACACAATGCTCTGGTGACACTGACTTAAAAAATTAATTAGACATCAGTCTTAATTACAAATACTATTTGAAGATTGGATCTAAGGTCTCAGAAAGGTCTGCCATTCTAATCTCATCTATGGTGTGTCAGATTTCATATTTTAAGAATTTTAATGCTACTACAATGCCCTAAGATTAGAATAAGAACTTTAAAGATAGAGTTTCTCCCTCTTGAATTAAAGCTAACATGACTTTTAACTAACAATCTAGTGCATGAAGACCTCCAGCAGTAAGGGTCTTACAAACACATACTAAGCCTCCTGCCCTTGCCCTCTAACCACTAATCCCATGGACTGGGGTTATGTATATTCTGCTATGTTCTGAATAAACACATACCTGCCCAGGAAACTGGAAATCATCATTTGGGATGAAGATGCAGAGTTAGCTGAGTGTCACAGTAGGAAAATATTCAAAAGATCTAACTCCTTGAAATGAGTTCAGCATCTGTGTTCTCAGCACAGGGACAGCCTGAGTATCAAGTGCTTCCTGACACCAGGCCCTCAACAGAGTTAATGGAGAGAGGCAGGCAGAAGAGTGGCTTCTGCCATCATGAACTTTAACAAGTTTTCAAACTATTTTGATTTAAAATATCAGTTTAAAAAAGGGGAAAAAAAGATAGCAAGAAATGGCTTTGATTTTTCCAATAAAAGGGTATCCTCTGAAAGACGACACTGCTAAAACACAAAATACAGCCATATAACACAAAGAGCAGGGTCTGGAATGAAAGTAATCTGGGTTTGAATCGCAGCTTTATCATTTACTAGGTAAGTGACTCTGGGGAATTTATTTAGTTTCTCATCTATGTAATGGGGGTAGAAATATCTATTTGGCATTGTGTGAGGATTAAATGAGGTAATCTGCATTAAGCACTACGCAGGGTGTGCAGAATATAATAAGCACCGAAATGTACTTGTATCTGGTACGTTTCACTCACTTATTCATTCAACATTTATTGAGTGTCACTATGGGCCAGGTCACATTGCAGGTGCTGGTTTTTATTAAGGCTGGTAGTTGAAAGCCTTATGAAATAGAAGAATGATAAAAATCTTAGTAATTAGAAGATGCCTCAGAAATCACCTAACTGAAGCATCTCACTTAGGGGTAGGGATGTGGGGGTGGCTCCTTTGGGGTCAGATCAGAAACTTGTAGGAAAGGTGCTTTTCAAACTCCATATGGCCCCCTGTCCTGTGCTCCCTCCCCGCACTGAGAATCTCGCATGTGATGAGAGAAGTCATCGCAGTGGTTGTGCGGCATGACAGAAAGAGCAGCAGAAAAGAGGATTAAAAAAAAAAAACAGAAGCAATCCAACGCCTTCTTTTCAACAGTGAGGACACCAAAATCCTAAAAGACTTAATCTAATTCCTGGCCCATCACCTTCTTCTTTTTCCTGAAAGCTGCCTTTTGCCTGGTCCTTGGAAAACCTGACTAGTTTATAAAGCAAAACTTGTTGTCAGAATGTGATTCAGAGAATTAGAAAAGACAAAGAATTCATCACTCCTTCCCAAACTTTTAAAGACACTGTCAACAATTTAATACTGAAAGTGTCTAAAATAACAACTGTTAAGATCAGGCAGCTTGTTCTAAAAAAGGTAAAACAGTCTCCAATACCAAGGATCCTTTAGTGCTTTGCAGAGAAACTTATGTTCACCAGCATCACCATCCATAAGACAGTTATCAGTGAGGACTCCTAAAACAGCATATTCTCAGTACAAACATAACTGTCATTTTATAATGACCACTAGGAAATTAATGGGGAGCACTACTTTGCAAAAGGGCCTATTTCAAGCATTTATTATATAAAAATAAACCAAGATTTGAATAGAGACGTTTTCTTTTCATGTGGCCCCATTTTGTCAGAAGTCTATATTTTGATATTCAGACAAGATCATGTCATGCTAATCCTTTACCAACTCATCAAGGTAAGAAATGACATTCTGATTCAAAGTAAAGATTTCACAACTAAGTGAAGAAAATGGAATTCAACTGGTTGCTTTTTCAGTCTATTAGTGCTGAACAGAACATGCATAACACCAGGAAAGGCAAGCAACAAAGAGAACTTGGCAAAAAGGCAGATTTACCACCAGTCTTGAGGCCAGATCCATGTGCCCCAGTTCTTCAAGGTTATAGATGAGTTCCGTCTGGAACAGGGCTTCAGTGATGGGTGCAGTATGGGTCTCATTTCTAAGATAATCAAGCAAATCAAAAGCTCTCTGAAGAGGCACCTTGCCTAGGCTAAAGGGTAAAAGAACAAAAAAGTAAATATGCCAAGACAGGCAGATGAACTGTATGTATGCTGAGAGACAAATGGCTAGATAGCGGGTCGGGGGATCCTGAAGACCTGAATTTTAAGCTTTGGGTGGTATTCTGTAAAGTTAGACTAAATATTATTATCTTTGATTAATTCGTGTGTGTGACTCAAGGTTAAAGACACATCGCAGGAAAAATAAACAATAGCTCAGCTTTTGTTATATAAGTCACCTGTAAATTACTACTGATTCAGGAAAAGTATTATAATATTTTAGGTGAGAAAAGATGAAGAGTGCTAATTTTATTTATGTATTAATTACTTTTATTTATCAGGTGAGAGCAGGTGGCAGAAAGAGGATTTGAATCAGAAAGAACTTTCTTATTTGTTATTTGTATGGGAATTTGTCAAACTTGCTAAGGCAAGGTCTGCTGTGAATTTATGGTGAGCACATTTAAAAAATTAACCACTTTACAGAAATCACAACAATGGTGGCTGAGATGATGTAAGGTCACTTCATAAAATATGAACCAAAATAGGACGGTCAAGAGCAGTCAGAAGGAACACATTTGAATATTCCTTGTGTGTCTGACCCATCAACAACCTGAACCAGTAATATTGCTATTCAGAAGATATTCATACAGGGGGTCACTGCCATTGCAGTGACTGGCTGGAGAGGTAAGTCATTGCAGTGACTTGTGGGATGGCTGGGGAGGTAAGTGGTGCTCCAGCTCTCAGAGGTGTCCCTCAAACTAGTGAGGGAGCACCAAGCTTTATGCTGAAACCACCTGCTGCTTGACAAGAGTTCTCTCATGAAACAAAGCAAACGTGGAACTTTTACATCAATTTATTCAGCAAATATGTGTCCTGCTTGTTGGTATCTACAGTCTTGAAATATTATTTAAATCTTATTATACAACTGTTCAATATGTTTGTAGCTGATGTTTCTAGATAGACTATAAAGCCCCTGAAGGCAAGGAATATGTCTTATATCTTCCCAATCCTCCAAAATGAATTATACCTAACAGGCAATACATGCTAGTTCTTTTGAATTGCTTTTCTATAATGTCCTTTTCCTCGAGAATACTTATTTAAAAACAAAACAAAATAAGACCCAAGACAAGCATACTCTACCCTGCAAGTTCAAAGATGTTGTTGATGAGGCTGGCTCGATCTTTGTCACTCAGGACATAAGGATTTATTTTCAACTGTTTGATCAGTGCTTCCCAGTTGTTGTCTGCATAATGTACAATATAATAGCCAGTCATGTCTGTATTGACCTTGATCCACTTCACTTCTTCTGTGAGATTGATGACAACTAATACAGACCAAAAAATGAGAGAGAGAGAAGGTAATAGGGAAA